GCTCAGTAAACACTTTTCAATCGAATACCGTTTGATCGTAACCTGTATGGTTACGTTGGGATTTCATGTTATTAGTCACGGCTAGCCTCCTAAGCAGGTAACTCCTTACGTAACGATTATACAAACCGTGAGGAGTCTGTACACCAGAAAAGAAGAAAAGACTGCCTCTCCCGATCTCTCCCCATTCCCCCACCAGTTCTCTAAAAAGAGGACAGTCGCACTGTTTTGCCTGCGGAGGAAGTTGCAATCATCGTCAAGTGTTGGGAAGGTTGCTTTTCTACCTCTTTTTTTCCTTCATCCCCCCTCCCCTGGCCCAATGTCGAGCAAAACGTTAATATTTGTGCACGTAATTGTTCTGTTATATCCCAACATTGAATAGAGTAGACGGGGGATATTTAGCAAAAGAGAAAACTCTCTTCTTGAGCATTAAAATGGACTACTGTTAAGTTGTATAACCTTCCCAACTACTTTTTTGTCTGTGACTGTAGATCAAGGCTAAAGAAAGCCGAATACGCCACTTGCACATCTCGCATAATGCGCCTTATTTGCCCCGCAAAATTTTGCATAACCGTTGTTTTTCATTTCTCCCGGGTATTACAGCACGTCCCAAGAGAAATTGATAATAATGCTTATGCAAAATTTTCGGGGGCAAAAAAGGTACATTGTGGGAGATGTGCAAGTGGCGTATATGGACTTCCAACTACCGATTTCCCACTTCTGATCTCCGCCAAGTTCCGACTTCTAACTCTCAACTAGCCTGAGATTACAGCCTTTTTTCTAAGCTCTTAGCCGCTAGCGGCGAGGAGTGAGGAGAGATGGCTGTATTCGTAGGCTAACTTCCAACTTCCACTTACAAATTCCCACCTCAGAATGGGCTTGGTTTTCCCTGTTGGAGTGCCCGGTGATAGACCTATTATAGGCTAACTCAATGTTGTACCCGATTCAAACCCTTTGAGAATAAAACGTTTTGGTTCAGGAATTTCCATATCATTTAAATGTGAATGCCACATTATAATGCAAATACAATACACAAAGAATCTTAACCCCGGGAGATTTGAATAAGGTCAACACTGAGTTAGCCGAATAGAGTGTTTTCACTCACGTGGCCAGCATTTATGCAAATTTATTGAAACAAAAGAAAACGTTTGCATAAGAAAAGAGTTCAACTCCCAGAGGATTGGTTTGGGACACCAACATGGCCGCCGTTTCATTGTTTTGGAACACCAATATGGCCGCCGTGACGTCATGTGAAAACACTCTATAGGTCTATTCTTCCTGGAAATGGTGCCAAACTTAAGGGCGAACTTCGAAGTAAAAACTTCTTGGGGTGGCAGCCAACACGATCTCTACTGGTGTGAAACCTTTGAAGTTTTACAAATTTCTCTGACGAGGAGATCTCTTTGAGAGATCTACACTTTAAAATTGTATGATAGGTGGTATATCGCTAACAATTTCTCAGACTTTATTTATTTACCTTTTACAAATGTTATATTCTATAACAGATCAGTGCTACACGGCTTTTTAACTGTTCTTAGTGCTTTAAACTTACTGATAAACGCTATTTTAATTTAACGAACAAAAATGTCCTCTAAGCTCCTTTAATTGAGCGTCTTTAAAGAACAACATTTCAGTTCACATATTATTCATTTACTTATACAGACATGAATAAAATATTACAAGCTTTTACTTCTCAACGAAGTCTCGTTAGAAGGTACACTTAACTGTAAATACATTTTAATGTAAAAGTTCCGATGAAACATTTTTTGGTTTCTTAAAGCAGTGAGTTCAGAACTCTCCATAACTCTCTTAATTTAACGAACAAAAATGTCCTCTAAGCTCCTTTCATTGAGCGTCTTTAAAGAACAACATTTCAGTTCACATATTATTCATTTACTTATACAGACATGAATAAAATATTACAAGCTTTTACTTCTCAACGAAGTCTCGTTAGAAGGTACACTTAATTGTAAATACATTTTAATGTAAAAGTTCCGATGAAACATTTTTTGGTTTCTTAGTGCAGTGAGTTCAGAACTCTCCATTCCTATCTACCGTTACACAAAAAAGAGAACGATAAATAACTCCAATTCAAGAGGCACTTGCAATGCAAAACGTTTCTGAGGTTTTTGGTCAAGGAGGGTGCAGCGAAAGAGTTTTCTTTGTTGGAAGGATCAGCGGCCAGCGTTTAGAATTGAAAACGTTCCACAGCAGCAATTTGTTTCGTTTTGTTTAGTTCTTTTCAAAACCTCTGCCCCTTTCGTATCATACATGCGTAACAAAGCAAAACAAAGTAAAACAAAGTAACACAAAGTAAGGGCTTTCATTTTCCCACATTAGCCTAAACGGGTTCTAAAAAAGCTTCGTTTACACGACAAGCGTTTCGGGCACGGCAACCCTAAAATTTGGCAAGCGTGACTGAACGTTTTGACACGGCACCCCTTTTTACCGTAAATGCAACTGTGTTGAGCACGGGTGACTAAAAATTTAGGGATGCCGGGACAATGTGCATATGTGGAGGTCCAGTATCCCTTTTTAGCGGTGCTGTGCTCAAATTTTCTATCCTCGCTGAGAATTGTGGGATCAATTTCAAGATGGCGTCAAGTTCGAACAACAAAGTAACGTGGTCGGTAGAGGCAACAGAGTCCTTGATAGACATTTACAACGTGTCACGCATCCAGGCATCGTTAGAGAATTCGAAAACATCTAAAGAAAACTCCAAGATTGTAGGACAGAACAGATAACATCTAGCAAGGCTTGGACTAACAGCCAATTGAGTGAGAGAGTTGCTCCCTTAACTGTCTTTTCCTGAAAATTTATATTTCTTTGCTTCCCATTGAAATACCACACTGTTGGAAAATCCTAAAATAAGAATGACCGAGAGCAGGTTTTATGAGCCCGGGAGACTGAGCACCCCACGCAAACCCTTGATTTCACTAAAACCGCTGGACGCCACAATCTGGTTGAAGTCATTGTTATCTTAGGTCTTCCATACTGTTGACTGCGTCACGAGAGTCTACTCTTCGCCATCTTACTTTAGAGGTGCCGTTTCTAATTTTAACAATGCCCATAAAAAATAGGGGTACCCTAAAATAGAGATAACTCTGTCGCGTAAAAGCCAAAAATTAACGCACTTGTGGAAAAAGGAGTGCCGTACCCAAAACTTCCGTCGTGTAAACCGGGCTTTTGCCGCGGATAAATTAATAATAATAATAATGAAATTTACTTCTATAGTGCCATTTCCATTGCTGTCCAATGGCGCTTTATTTAAAAAAATGAAAATAATAATGCATTGTTGAAAAAAAAAGCATTAAGCTATACGTTGAAATTTATAACATTGTTAAAATGAATAAAAATATGAATAGAATCAAATAAAAATCGAACAAAAAGAAAATGAACGAAATATAATCCTAGGATGATTATACTGCATTAAAAAGATAAGATTAATCTACACGTTTAAATTGATTAAGACAACAGCAATTGGGGTAATTCGTTCCACAGAGCAGGGGATGCGGATGGGAAGGCTCTGTAACCATACGTTTTTAGACTGGTATTAGAAGATCTAAGGTTCCTACTCGGTACGTACTGCTTCACTAATTCGGAGAGATAAGTTGGAGCAAGATTATTCAAAGCCTTATAAGTTATTAATAATGTCTTTAAAATAACACGTTGTTCAACTGGTAACCAGTGGAGCCCTTCTAAGACAGGGGTTATGTGTTCTCTTTTGCCTGTTATGGTGACAACCCTTGCTGCTGCATTCTGAACCGACTTTTGAGAACATTCTGAGGTATTCCATATAAAAGGCAATTACAAAAGTCTAACCTTGATGTTACAAAAGCATGCTATTTAGGTTCTTAAGCAGATTTTCATTTTCGGAAGAAATAAAGACGGAATTCACCAGGAAATTGAATAATTTTAATTTTCAGTAGACAAAAACCTTGTACCAGAATAATTTAAAGAATATTGCAGTCTCTTTTACATTTTTCAAGGGCTATAGATGTAGTTAGTTATATGTAATAACACCAAAGAAAATTTCTTATGGGAGCCCGCGAGAATAAATGTCAAATTTCACAAGAATTGTGAAAGCACAGGTAAAATATTTCATGTGCAAGATGTCATTTTGTGAAATTTGACATTTATTTTCTGGGCCTCCCATTAAAAATTTTGTTTGGTGTTATTACAGATGACTAATTGCATTTTTAGCCCTTGGGAAATGTAAAAAATAATGCAATACGCTTTAAATTATTCTGGTACAAGGTTTTTGTCTACCGAAATTAAAATTTCTCAATTTCCTGGTGAATTCCTGAGGATCTAAGGGGTACATTTTAGCCTAATGGGTTCTAAAAACTAAGTTTTAATTTCGGGTTTTTACTGTAACTCATTTTGGAAACACAAAGCTCCTGATTTAACATTTATTGAATGAGGCTGAGTATCATCTGAAGAATTATGGAGATCGAGGAGGGTGTTGTCCGCCGCAGGCCTCGGCGGATAACACCCTCCAAGAAAGCAGAATTCAATAATTGTTTTATTATTCATTCAAAATAAATCTTAGTTAAAAAACAAGCTAAGACATGCTTACCTCCATGGATAGTGAATGTGAATTAGCAAGTTTAGGACATAAAGGGTTGTTCACCGCCGCAAATATTCTCCAATAGTAGAAGTCGTCCGTCGAGTTGTCTTCTTGCTGTTCTTGCTATGTTTTTAGCCAATGGGTTCGCCTATTTCTTGCTCGTGAACAGGGTGAAATGTTCGGTTATTTTTTCCTCACTACGAAAACAATTCCTCCTCGTCGCCAGGTCTTCTCGCTTAACAGATCAAGAATCAGGCAATTTAGCTGCACGACTGACGTCATCAGTTCAATATCGCAAAATTCTTCCAAATTTGGTCAACAGTAGCTGGTTATGATGAATTATGCGTGTGATTTTAGCCAATCAGAAACAGAGAAATATTTTGAATGAATAATAATCCTCATTATCCAACTGCTAAGAATGTTTTCTCAATAGTTAATTGATTTCTTTTCTTTTTCTTCCCCTTGATTTTTTCTTCAGAGTAATAAGTTTAACCATTCCACGAGTGACAGCACAATATTTTACCCGATTAAGCCGCCACATTTCTCCGAACGAATTGAACGAATCGAAAAAGAGAATGACGACAGGCCGTTCCAAACCACCATACTCCCTCACGGTGCTGAGAACAATATTGTCATCATCATTTCTTTCAGCATTCACGGTTAAAGTAAACTTTTGCAACTGTTCAAGTTCATCGCCTTCTAGGGGTTTTGTGAAACACAAAACAGCGATATCGCCTTTACTGTACCCTTCTTTTAACAGCGACTCAAGTACTTCAATCAAACAAGCAATTCGTTCTCCTTCTGAATATTCTACCTCACTTTGTTCTCCGTCGAAATCGTGGCCTATTGTCACCTCCCCTGCGAACGGTAAGTAACCTCCGCGCGATGAAGTCCCCACAGGTACTCTTTGGAGATGCCAAGATCGCTTATCAAGGAATTCTTCGGCGTGGTCGAAGATCCGTTTGGAGTTCCTTATCACTTTCCTAAGACTAAAGCTCTGGGGAAGACGTTCTGGTATGCCTGATGGTGACTTATAAATTCTTTGACCTTTGTCAATGAAACACCACAGATAGCCTGGGCCATCACTTTGGCAAATGCTGCTCTGTGGATCAAGTCCAGCGACACAGTTTGTATCAGAGTTGTTCTGTTCACTTTCAGATTCCTCGAAAAACTCCAAAACACTTTCATTGTCAGAGACGTGGTCATCGTTGCTGCACTGTGGATAACGTTCAGCCACAAAGTTTGTATCAGAGTTGTCCTGTTCAGTTTCGGATTCGGACTCCAAAAAACTTTCAGTGTCAGAGGCGAAGTCATAGTGACTGAATTCACGTTCAGTGAAGTCTTGCACGACGAGCGCTCTGGCTTTTTCTAGCCAATCTCCATCTTTAGCTCGAAAATTCTGGACCTCGTCCAGAATTACGTGCCTGATTTGAGGAAACGCCTCCTTCATAAAGGCTTCTCGGGTACGGCACTGACATATGTCAAGTTTCCTATAAATAGCGAGGAAGAAAAGACACATCGTATTGAGAAAAATGTTACAATGTAGCTCCTTTTGGCAACAAGACTTAGCTAGACATACGGCTCACTACTGTGTAGTCCCGGCGATACCTCGAACACGGAAACCTCGACCTTCCCCGCTAACTCGAACTAAATTTTGTCTCCCTTGATCAAAAGTTACCCCAACAACTCGAGTTATCGTGGTTCTTGCAACTCACCAGCGACGACGTCCAGTTAGTTTTTCGCGCCGCGTAATCGGTAAAAACACTTGAACTTAAACTACAGCACTTAGATGTTAATAATTGTGCAACGAACAGATCACGTTTTTGCCTGTCACATCCCTGCACCATCTCAAGAGTAACCGTGTTAACGTTTCTGATGGGACCCCGTTTACTTTGCACCGTACTGTTGCTAAGTGCTAAAAAATCATAGCAAATCGAAAATTCAATCGACCCCAATAACTCGAATCTCCGCTAACGCGAACTGTTTTTCCTTTACCTTCAGAGCCCAAGTTACCGGGCTTCTACAGTACTCATTAACTGCTGCAATACTTGTACTGATTAAGAAGACTTTTAGAACGGCCTTATTGGTTCAGAAAAACCTGACTTACAAGTCTCGCATTGTATTTTAAGTCTATTCTACAAATCGCAAAAAGGAACACGAACATTTTCTCGAAAAAGATGTAAGTGGATGGGATATTTCACGAAACTACACCAGGCGTATACAGCCCTTTACGTCCCCCGGCCCAGAGACCCAGAGAACGACGTTTAAAACTAGAACATGAAACTCTCTTGCTGAGCGGTACGGGCCCTTGTCGCTGGATTGTCTAATCAGGGCGTTTAGATAGTGGAGAGAGGTGCGAAATAAGAACCGGAGCGTAAAAAGAAAACCGAAGAGGAGAAAGCACAGTACGTGTTTTCTCCCTCTCTCTCCCTACCACTTGCAGTGGTTTCCCTGTTCCGTTCTCTTGACGCCGTCCCCACTATCTGAACGCCTAAACTTGCTTTTAACCAATGTAAAGAATCAAAGGGTACCTATGGCAACAGGGGTCTTTTTTTGCACGAGCATGCGCACTAAGACTTGATAAACAGCACGCGACCAGTGACAACGCCCGTGATGCATAGTCATAGAACCAAATTCTTCACTTTAAAAGTTTGCTTGAGATTAAAATAGTAGGATAGATCTTCGTTGTACATAATATAAGTAAAGATCTGGTGATTTAAAGTGGAGACTGATGCGCTGAACGAGGTGAAAGAGCAAGTTTCTTTAGGGTGTCTGACATAAACATGGCTGCTTGTTGTTTTTTGGAGCCCAACTCGTGTCTTGATTGCCCTTCAAGAACCGAAAGTTTGGCATAGAATGCATTGCTGATGGGTAGGTATTGAGCAAAATGTTCTTTATTTAGTGTTTGTCAATAAATCAGATGTAAATTAGTTTCTCAATGCCGTAGAGGATTTCTGTCAATAGTTTGAGGATCGCTGATTCAGACATATTTCGGGAGTGGATTAATAACGATCAGCGGGCGACTACCACGCCGTTATCAGTTGGAATTGAAAGGTTTTCCATTAAGTATTTTAGCGATACAAAGTTCGTTTATCGGAAAATTGTAGAAGTTCTTGTGTTTTCGTGGACTAATTTTGTAACGCTTCTTGTACAGGAATTTGCTTTTAGCCAGAACTCAGTTGAGTGCTCCAATAATTTTTAACTTTTGGTCGGCATCACATGTTTACTGTACTTCTTGGGAAACTAACCGTTTGTTTCATCAAAATCTGTCAAAAGATTCGACTGAAGCAGGAAAATTTCTCTCGCAATAACAAGACTCTAACAAGACAAATTACACAAGAAGACACAAATGTATTACTCACAAAAACAACTGCTGCCAGGTCTTCTCAAGAAGCCGTAATGACCAGCCATTGTTCGTAAATGAATACAAGGTTAAAGTAGGATGACAGTCGTCTTCGGTAAAAAACAAGTTTTCTGGATTTCGCCCAGAAAAACCATGGATAATAGAAAGACTTTCTATTATCCATGGAAAAACATAAACATCTTTTAAGCAAATCCAAACCATACTCCACGAAACTCCACGACTTCTTACGGACATGTGAGTATTTTAATGTTGGGTGGACTTTAAGACTCTTTTACTTTTGTTTTGTTTTAGTTTTCATTGATCGTTAACGAATAAATAAGCAAATTTTCTTTCTCAGTTTTACAGAAAGAGTTTTCATTCAATTTGTTATTGTGTCGCGCATTACGAGAATTTTGTAGTTAATCAAAAAGCAAGCATTTTTGTCAGCTATGTTATAAAAGAATTTGATCATGCTTTTAGCTGTGCGTATATCGAGTTATGGATGCACTTGGAAAGTTTGGAGAGCACTAAAGAAGCTAGAGTTGCACTTGGCTATCGCGTGCATCCATAACTCGATATACGCACGCTAACCATGAACAAATTCTTACTTTTCAAAATCGAAAGTGATTACTTACATCAATAAACGTTTCAGCGGTTTGTTTAGACTTTGATCAATGAGGTCAGCGCAATCCTACAAGCACTACATATACGCGCGCTGTTGTCCAGGTCAAGTGGGGAGACGAAATTTGATAGTAGCTCGTGGTATGTTAAAGCCGGTCTACTTCGCTTTTGTTGAGAAGATGTTAGAGTTTTTTTGCAAATTAACTACACATTTTGTTAAATCACGAGCACATTCGCCAAGACCAACGAGCAAAAATATCGCGATGATAGCTTTGAGACGCGCCATTTTGACGAAGAGAGACCCTGTGGTGAGCCTCCATGCAAGTCGCTTATTCAGCGGTCGCGCATGCTAATACAAAAAAGACCCCTGTTGCCTATGGCTAAAAAATAAAATAGCTCATATGTCAGTGGTGTGAGCGTATGTATCTTTGTGGCTTTGTATCTTCGTATCTTTGTAACTTTGTATGTTCGGATGTTTGTTGCAAGAGCCAGTAAGGTTGAAGGTACTATGAGTTGATGCTTAGGAACCAATAAGATCTTGGCATCTACTTAAACATGACATTGCTAAAGGTCGAACAAGGGCACTTTGAGATCGCCATCTTGATTCTTCACAATTATTTCGTCTTTTATTACGGCTACAGGTGTTTGGAAACATTATATTAAATATCTTCATGATTCAAACGCTGTGTACAGTGATGCAGCTGTTTAAGGGTTCATATTTTAGTGTGGATGCTATTTCAAGACATTTCTGACCAAATTCGGCTATCGCGAACGGTAATGACGCACGTATTTATGAGTTGTGTTTCACCTTCTTCAAGGTAGAGTATAAAAGACCAGATATTTTTTCAAAGCTCTTCCAGTGAAGCAATAATTGATATTTAGATATGGACTTTAATTTGAAAGTATGCGGACTATAAAATGTGGTTTTACAAGTTTGAAAAGCAGCTTATTTTTTTTAAAGCTGTGGCGAGTATTGTTAATCCTGTAAACAAGCTTTAAAAATATTATTCTCTCGCTTTATACAAAGTTCAACAGACCTTTTTCGTTCTGGCAAAAGAAAAAAAAATAAGTGAACAACGTGATACATCCTTCCTGCATACTAAGCATCATAGTTATTGAAACGTATTTTATTTAGCGTTAGGGAATAAAATTGGAAGAAGCTAGTTGACACAATAATTAGACACTGTTTTATTGAGTGGAGTAACATGATATGAACAGAAATATATTTCGGCAGTTTGATAATTTTTTTGAAAGTTAATAAATATTAGGCTATCAACCTTGACGTTGCATGAAACATAATTTAATTGCAGATGTTGTAATGAAGCCGAGGTGATTTCTTAAAATCGTTGAGAAAATTTTGTAAATAATCTACGTTTTTTTTACGTACCAATTGTCAAAGGTCCAAAGGCAAACATCTTCACGTGCAAATTGTGTGCATGAGTTATTTTTATAATTCTGTTTACTAGATTACCGTGTGATAACTCGAATTCCCTCACGTACGAACCACGAAAGGGGACAAAGTCTAACACTTTCACGTGCCAGTTATGTGACTGTACATCTCATGCAGATTGGCTTTTCACAATAATAATAGTAACTTGAACGTATGAAGACCTGCGTCGTTTTGTAACCAATGCCTTAAAAAAGGCTCTTGTCTTTTGAGAAGCAATAGTTTTTAAAACATGAAGAAATAAGTTGTCGGAGTTAAGGACTGTTTCACTGAGTAGAATCGCACGTGAAAACCTCGTGAATTGTGATGATGCAACCATCTACAACAATGATAAGAATCCTGGTATTTCTTAACTACTCGAATTCGATGAGTCACCTTTTGGCTTAAGAAACTCCGAGGAAACCTTAGAGTTTTCCTTCTAATCAACGTTTGGTGAGTAGATATTTATCTATTTTAATAATTTGTTTAACTTGCACCAAATGTAACAAGAAAAAACAGAGGAAAGTGAGTATATAGCATGAGGATCGACGCAGCTGATCGTTTCGCGTTATCATTTATCTACGGCAATGCCCAATTTCGCACAAAAACCCAGTCTACATTTAGGACGAAAAAGGTTTATTTTTACACTCTTGGTAAGGTTACACTGAAGCATTAAAGTTACACTGAAGCATTTAAAATAGCTCATGCACGTTTAACGTGCCTATGTTTTTAGAAATGTAAGCTGATAATGAATTTGCAATCAGTCTTCCTTTTTTTGACAGAGTTAAATTATACCGGAGGAGAATCAATAGCGATTGAGCAGCAGTAAACATCTCCGTTTTTATTCAACAGAGAAACATTTCATTTCAGAATGATATTTCCTTAATGATACCACTACATGAGAAATTTCTGCAATTTGATTGGCTTAGAGCAGTGGTATTTCAGCTTAATTTGAAATACCTACAAGTCATGTGAAAATTACAAAACCTTTGCGGGTAGTAGTATAAACAAATAATAGCATGATTTGTACGTGATATTTGGCATAAATACCACTCGCGATATTTCAAAACTGTCTCAAATTTCACTCGCCAAACGGCTCATGAAATTACGTAAAACAATTTTGAAATATCACTCGTGGTATTTATGCCAAACATCACTACAAATCATGCTATTACCTATTGGGAGTCTAGTCGTGAGAAAAGTTAAAAAATCGTGAGACTCACGGCAGAATCGTGCGCAGGAAGCGATATGTATGGGCGGCCGTTACCACCAAAAATACAATCATGTCAAATAGCACAGACAAAACGCAAATGGTCTAGTGATGAGTTACGAAATGGTTCAAATAAAAAGAAATTATCATTCTTACAATAAAATAGTCTGGTTGGGTTTGTGTGAAATGGTTCACCTAAATTCACCCGATTTGGTCAGATGAGAAGCTGTCCACGGGTCTATGTTACAACGAACATTAGAACATTACGTCAGATCCCACATAGACTAGGCAACTCCAGTCTTGACTTGTCCATTTCACACTTGTATTTTTGGTGATTTCGGCGCAAAAAATTGTATGTCATGCGAAAACATTTTATCGGAATTAATTTGTTTAATTTAATTTTATTTGTTTCGTCATACCTCCACTTCAGTCTCGATTAAATCATTCGACATTACATTGAACCATTTTCGTATGCTTTAAACCATTTCAGTTTCTCGATTAAATCATTCGACTCTACATTGAACCATTTGTGTATGACTTAAACCATTTGTAAATGTTTCAGTGAATTCTTACTTTACTGAAATCATTTCGCACATGGTATACTGATGGATTACAATTTAAACAAACCGATTCTTGTCTGGCGGTATCGTTTTAACATGATTTTATTTTTGGTGGTAACGGCCGCCCATATATATGACATGGTAACTTAGTTATTACTTTCGTCGACGAGTTAAAAAATTTCTACGTCGAAAAAGCTGGCCAGAGTAACCGCCGACAAGCAAAACGGTCCTGGCTTGAGGAAATCGCCAGAGAAAGTGGTCAGGTTCCGACTTGACGAAAATTGCTAATTGCAGTCTTCGCTGAAATACTATATAAACAACCTCGAGCATTAATCATACTGTTGTAAACGACAACTGTCTCTTCCTGCGACGTCCACGCAGCGTTTGGATCTAAACCGGCGTGGACCATAACAAGAAATTTGTTCTTAGTGGGTTCAAAGATGACATTTTAGGCCGCCTAACATTTTAATTTTGAACGCGTTAGACGAATGATCAAGTACAATGTAGGCTCGGCGGCAACTATAAAGACTTGAAAGAAACCGGAAACCGCGCTTAAAAAGTCTCTGGCCCCCAGGGTAGGGACTGTTTTTATAAACAGCTTCAAGCATCGTGACCTGATTTATTTTCCCACGGCGAAATATTCATCGCAAGTATTGGAAGTTAGCAGTTTAAACTCTACAGAAAAACTCTTAAAAGCAAGTGTGCTGTTTGTAGAAATTCCTGAAAATGGAGAACAAATTATCTTGCACCTTCTCTCTCCCTCCTTATTTTTTCTCACTCTCTTCCTTCCCGCCGCACTCCACTATCCCAACGCCTGAAACAGGCTACATAAACGACTGAAGCTAGCCGCTTACTGACGGTTTCGTATTTCGCATGTGCTACTATACTTTTGCCTTTGAATGAGGCTAACCTGTGGTGCGCCAATTGCTAAACGGCTGTCAAACTTCAAACGTTTGGCGGCGAAACATGTCACGTTCACATCAAAGTATACAAGGCGGGTCACGGAAACAGCATCCAAAAATAACCTTCGCAGCACGCGCGCGAACTTTAAAAAGATTTAAAATAATTATCATAGGGGACGGAGATTCGCTCTCTTAGCTCATTCTCTCTTGCGAATAAACGAAACTGAAATTTCCTTCAGCTGCTTTCCAACGTGCAGCTCGCCTGCCAATTACTTGCCTTAGTTCTGCAAACCAAAGATTTCACTTTTTTATTTTTAATTCGTTTGTTTCTATTCGCAATTTTCATAACTGAACGTTTTTCCATCCGCATTTTTCTCTCCCCATTTTCCCATCCACCATACGACATCAACATCCACAAACCCCAAGTATCCCGCGTTCCTCGTTTTACGGACACCCCAACTATGTTTACATACTCTCGTGCAAACACACCTCTCGGGCCAATCAGAGTGCGCCTCATATTTATTTAGTTATTTTTCAAAAATATGTTCTTTTGTTGGTTTCACGCACAATGTATTCTTCGTTGTTTGTACGAGCTACAAGAGACTTACTAGTGTAATACGAATGATGGCATAGAACGTTCGATTAAGTTCAATTGCCGAGCAGTTGGAGTGGTTTCATTGGAGGACTTAAGGTTCATGATTTATTAGCAATTAAACGCGCGAGCTGACTGTGGAATAAACGAGATAAACGCCAAGTGTAGTAACTGGTTACCGTGGTCTACTCACAATACACATCGAGAAAGAGAAAGGACTGTAAACACCGAGGTCCGTAATAGCAGCTATAAAGAAAGTTACCAAACTGCTTAAGAAACCGGCTAGAGATAAATTTCCATGTTAACTCAGACCTCATGTTAATTAACAGAAGGACAGTTGTCATCGTATTCCCTTCCATCCCTGCAAGGGGATGCGAGGTGTAAAGAGGCTACGTGATCCAACCCTTCACCCTGGAATTTGAAAGAAACATACCTTATTTGGGGAAGCATTGCAGGTCTCTCACAAACGTAGAGTATGTTTTCAGGTTTAAGGTTGGGGTAACGGAGGAGGAGCCTTCTAATAAACTCTACAGCCACCACGGTTTTTCCAGTGCCAGCTACACCCTTAATCCATAGCTCTCTGTTTTCCTCGACGTCGATCATTATGCACAGCAGTTCAAACTGTTCCTTCGTCAGCAAGTTAAGAAATTTTAACCCCTGCTTGTTGGAAAGAAAAGAAGGAAACTGCGCCAAAACTATTACTAGTGACTGTAGGATTTTGTTGATCTTCACTAACTCTTGGGGCGATGAACGTAGATGATACTCGTTAGGATATCGACTGTCTGGAGACGATATGTCAAGTGGCTCAGTTCCTACGCAGTTGCAAAGCACCACCTGGCAGGTGATGTAAAACTTTTCATAGCAGCCGCCGTTCCTCACTAAGGCTTTCTTCACAGCTTTGGCTGTAGCACGGGCATGCGGGAAGAACTGATCTTGTGATCCACTGCTGACAAGGGAGATAAGGTGGAGCCGTCCAAGCGACTCACTTAAGAGGAGTAAGTCACATACAACCCCATCTTCTTTACGTTTCCCTTCTTTTTGGACAGCAGACAGTATTGAGGAGGAAGCTACAAGAAGGCCGTTCGTGGTTTGTTCTCGTATTTTTCGTATCACTTGTTTTGCTTCTTCTGGGAGGTTTGATTCAAACCCTTTAGGTACCACTTGACATCCGCGCCCAACTAAATAAAAAATGACAAAGACACAATCAAACCTTGTTAACCACGATACAATCTTACGCACAAATGCTGTTAGCATGAGGAGACCTTAAGAGGGTTTACTCTAAGTACCAGCAAGAAATGACACTTCTTAAGTCACGATGGCGCAGATCTATTTGTAGAATTCACCATTTTCACCTAGGTCATAATGCACCTTGTTTAACCCCCAAAACTTGCATAACCATTCTCTTCGATTTCTCTTGGGACGACTGTAATACCCAGGAGAAATTGGAAACAATAGTTATGCAAATTTAGGGGGCGGGGGGTAAACAGGATGCATTATGGTCTATGTGAAAATTGTGAATGAATGGAAAATGTAAAAAATGACAGTAACATATACCCTTCGTTTTTACTTGATTTTTTTTACAGACTTTCGCGGTTTTGTCAGGCGACTGAGTCCCATTCTCGCACGCACGCCCTTCATCACCCCTTCCCAACAAAAGCTCCAGCTATGCAGGCTACATACGTTCAATAAACTCAAGTCAACTGGGACGGTTTATTTCAAAACAAGACATAATATCGCAGTTAGCTGCGGTGCAACACAAGTTGTTTAACATTAATACGGGTGAGTTATTTTTCTGTCATTTCTCTTTGCAGTCACGTATCTCTCAATAACAGGAAAAATAACATACGCACACGAGGCCCAGAGCCCAAAATGATCAGACTTTCTAGACACTGATTACAAAACAGCGGACTATTTACTTAATATGTGCGGTGATAAAGGAATACTGTTCATTGTGACGAACTGCACATTTGATACTCAAGGAGAGGGCCCTCGTGATTTGAGTAATTCTTAGAATATTACATGGAATATTATCTCTTGTTTAGCACTCGGTACTTAACCCTTGAATCGATTCATTACGTTATCTATTTTCTTTTAAGTTTTTGTATAGTTTTCTTCCTATGGGGTGGGGGGCATGCTCCCCCGGAAATTTTTGGAAATGAATACGCGCTAAGATGCAATCTGGTGCATTTTGAGACACAATTTTGAGAAATTTTACAGTGTGTGCACTGACCTTGTCGCGTTTGGATGATTTTTCCGACATAGTTACTTATTTACTGTAATGATAACAATATTTTTGGGTGGGAAGCTAAGCATTTCGGGGGGGGAAGCTTCTACCCCTCAAATACCCTGGATAGAACCCTGCGTATGATATTATCAAAACATGTTACAGCTTTCTTTACAGAAAATAAGGGCTTTTGTAACTAAACTTTACGATACAATGCAAACGAAGGAGGTCGTAGTATTTAAAACAATGCAATGACTGATAGTCATACCAAACAACGCCCGTAGATAGTTTTAATCCTAAGTTAGTTAATAATTTTTAATATTCCATTGTATTAGTTTTATTCAGATTTTATATTATTGCATAATTTCGTTTTTTAACCAGTTGGTGTGATATGTCGCGATTTTTACCGACTTAAAAAAGTGTAGATGTAGATGTTTCCTAACCATGCCTAGTTTCAGCTTTCGATGTACAATAATTTATTACATTGTATATTGGACGGGTGTTGACAATCAGAAACCTGTGACTGATCTTTGATAATAAATAGAGAAAAAGGTTAAACTACTGAGTTACATAGTTTCTGATCCAGCCTGCAAAAACAAAGAAACAACCTCAAGCAAGGCAACAGTCAAGAAGGTCCATAAACAATGTACAGCTTTGAAAATTTAACACTAGCCTAGTATGCATCAAAAAAATTATATATAACTAAACAGTGTATGTCATTACTTTGGGAAGAGGTAGGGACGATCTACTAACAGTTTACTGAAAAATACCTGGAAAGAACACTTTCACAATCTCGTCAACAGCACCTTGCACAGGCCACAAAGGTCCTTTTGAAAGTTTTACCATGTCTGTAAATTTTTCCCTTGCTTCCCTGGTACCTTAGAAAAAAAAAGTTCATTTCAGTCAGTTTTCAAGCCTTTTATATAGCAGTTTTAAGTTAAGGCTTTAAAAACATTACAGTAAAACCCCACGACAAAGGACCTGGATTTTTCCAAGTTAGCCTAAACAAGTTCTTATGTAATTGGTAGTTAGTACACGTTTAAGATGTTTAGGTTCTTAAATAGGCTCTTATTTTCTGAAGAAAAACAATATAGCTAAGAGCATTTAGTGGTTCAGCTTATTCCTCATATAAAATCTGCATACCAAATTTGAAGATAGGTAAAAATAACCAAGAAAGAAAAACTAAAGCATTGAGCATAATGACCGCACTGGTGTTTAAATTGCAGTTGGAGTGATAAGGCACTTATGTCTCCAAAGAGGATTCTGAATGCTGACTTATCTAATAACTGCCGAAGTGTACAGAATTTTTTTCATAGCTTTTAGAAAATAAAAACCTGTTCCAAATTTTTGGCTAAACAGGTTCTTTTGTAGAGGAGGCCTAACTGGCAAACTTTAGCCTACCAGGTTCTTATAATACAGGGTCTTAGTCGTGGAGTTTTACTGTATTCCAGATATTGACCACTTTACAACCTTGGAAAAACAGTTTTACCCACCCACAGGACACCCATTTTGCAGATTTGTTACCGCCATGGACCCTTCCCCCACCGCACCATGTCTGATGATCAATGTTGTTCAGTCAGGGGGAGAAATGATCCAGCCAGAGTTCAACTTTGTGTATTATTTTCTTTTGCCAGTATTTTAAAAGTCTTATTTTGAAACTAGACATGGCAACAGCCATTATTCTAGACATTTTTGTCCTAGACTGTAGCTTTTTAAACGTGTACCAATGTACCAACCAAATAATACATATAATATGCCAGAAATAATAAAGATCAGATCAAGATCTTCAATCCAACTTCAAATACTTGAGTAAAAATTAGAGATGAAGGACTTTGCTAAAAACTGGGGAATAATGATTGATTCAGATCTTTCATGGAAGTATCATATTGACTTTATCCATCACATATTTGATTTTTATTATTATGGCTTCCTGTTTGAGGAACCGGAAAGAAGTGCAGGACAAGCAATTTGACAGTCATTTGACAGGTGTTAGAAAATGAAAGTTTTAATTGGCTCACGGAAACAATAGCACACATTATAAAGGCTTTCCATTGAAAGCTGTGGTGGCCCAAAAGGCTCAGACACAAATCAATTTCCCAAAACACAAGTCAGTTTCCCAAAGCACATAACGGTTTCCCAATTCACAAATTAATTTCCCAAAACACAAATATGTTTTCCAAAACACAAATCAATTTCCCGAAACACAAATCAATTTCCCAAAACACAATTTCAAAAGACTGGGCACTACCTTATTATGAACGAGATGGCCTGGAAAGGAGAGTGACGAACTCGGGTCCAGGGTCTTTCGCATCCAATATGGCGACTATCTGAACGGGCTGTATTTTCATTGTTTTAACCAGGTGTTACCGTGAAAAATGTTCTGCCAAAACTGCGGCCAACAAGTTTTTGATGAATATTTGTACTGCTTTCAGTGTGGAACCAAACTAGACACTGCTATACCTTCTGTTAGGCTATTATTATCAGCTGAAAACGTGACCGAGAAAGAAGCAATAGAGGCTTACTTTTATAGTGGGTTCAGTTAAAGGGTTATTCTACTCTTCCTTGACAAGTACCATGACATGCCAATGTCTATGTCAACATTTAAAAGAAGGTTATGTGAATACAACCTTAAAAGGAATAAAGTGGATATAAATTTGCCTGCCGTTGAGAAATTAATCCGAGACGAGATGGATGGCCCAGGAGGCATTTGTGGTTACAGAGGAGTTTGGCATATGCTTCGTATAAAGTATGGGCTGTTTGTCCCTAGGCAAGAGGTAGAATCCCTGATCAGAACGATAGACCCAGCTGGAGTGGAAGAGAGGAAGCGCCACAGGCTAAAAAGAAGGAAGTATGAGTCTCCTGGACCAAATTATTGTTGGCATGTTGATGGTTATGATAAACTGAAACCTTTCGGATTTCCCATCCATGGGGCTGTTGATGGCTATAGTCGCATGGTAATGTGGCTTAAGGTAGATAGAACCAATAATGATCCAGAAATAACTGCAAAGTTTTTTTTAGATTGCGTTGTGGAGGTCGGTGGATGTCCTTCATTACTCCGAACAGACTGTGGAACAGAGAATGTAGTAATTGCAGGTACACAGTGTTTTTTAAGAGCTGACTGTGATGATGAGTTAGCTGGTGAAAACTCACACCGTTATGGTCCTTCTACTGGAAATCAAAGAATAGAGGCCTGGTGGGCCCAACTCCGCCGTAGTCGTCTAACATGGTGGATCAACTTTTTTAAAGACCTTGTGGATCGTGGGATATTTCTGACTGGTGATGTGCTCCATGGGGAGCGCATATGGTTTTGCTTTGCAGAATTAATCCAGCATGATCTAGACTTTGGAAGTTTCACTGGAATACACACTACATTCGGCATTCAAGGCATGGAACAGTTCCTGGGAAACCAGAGGAATTCTATTATCTTCCAGAAAACTTTGGAGCTTCAAACCACTTACACCCAGTGTCCCCTGAAAAGCTAGATGAAGCAAGGCTGAAATGTAAAGCAACAGATTTTAACAACGATTTTCAGGAGTACTTTAATCATGTTTTGTCCCTTCTTAATGTTTCGAAGCCCTCTAACTGGAAGGAAGCTTTGAGCCTGTTTTCTTATTTAATAAGAGTTGCAGTGTAGGAGCTATTCGATTCTGGTCCACAGTTGACAGAGACCAGTGATCTTATAACAGTTAATGAAAAAGTGAAGGACAAGTAGCTTATTAAGTTCTCAGTGTCAGTATAAACCGTTGTTATAAATTTCTAATTTCTTCGTCTCCATGAATTCTGTATGCTGTAGATTGCTTATAGCATTTTGGTGAATAGGGTTTTCTCTTTAATAAAACCAGTTTTACTTGAAAATGTCAAATGAAGAGAATGATTCTTAAAATTTTCAAGGAGGAGATATAAAACAACCAAATTAACTCCTGGACTTCTACATTATTTAATACACTTCAGCCCTGATAAACACGTAATGTCAACACTTTATTGGTAATTACATCTGGTATTATAATTGTCATCAATAACAACAACATGCACTCAAAACATTTTTCAAAGAGAATTGTCAAGCAATAACCAACAATTGGAGCAACTACAGCAAAGATAAAAAATGACTCTGTAATGGTCAGAGTCCTAAACAAAATACATGTACATTATTCCACTCATCATGAATGCAAAAGGAAAATATGCTTCTCCAATTATCACAATAAAATGTTTCTTGATTAACCTGATGAAAATGTTGTCACAACTATGGAATGCAAAAACCATCCAATACAAAATAATATTGGAACATTGTTATCTATAACAGATCAAATAACCAGAACATTATTTAACAATATAGTCAGTTGACAAGTGAAAATAGTGCATGTCTGATCTGTACTGGTACTCCAAATGAACTAAACCACAACTGTTCTCTCCTGGCAAGAGCTTTTTGCAGGTTCACAATGCCATCTTAAAATTGACTTTTTCAAAGACACTGACACAACAGTGAGAACCAGTATATGTATAACTTCACCTACACAAGAAGTCTGACTCAGACATACATTGTGTTTATTTACTGTGTCACTTCACAACACCATAGACAAGAGACCAAACAACTATGGTGCAGTAGGATAGATACAGTGAGTTTCATTTGCCATTTTAGCAAATACTAGGCAAATTTTACATACATTTGTACTGTCTAAAGATTTCTATGACCAGTTTGTAGAATATCATTTGTGCATATTGTCTGCTAAGACACCAAATAAAATTCAATTTGATTGACACATGCCCAAATAACTCTTGCCAAATGGATGTACACTGTACAATTCCAAAGTCATATTTTTATGAGACAATGCCAACAGTGCTCTTCAGTCCCAGTCTCAAATGCACAAGAATACTAACCTAACAAAGCATAACAAGTAGAACAGCATTTGCAAACAGGAACACAACTCAGAAGCCAAGGGGTTATCTAACAAACACTGGCGTCTTAATGACACCTTTGACCATCTCTTACATCTATAAAAATGATTTGCTCTGAAAACCTTTCCCATTAATAGTTCCATTGAAAGTAAAACTTAACTCTTCTGCAAAATAGGCAGCATGGACTTTTGCAAAACAGACAGAAATACTATGCTTGGGTACATGTATGCATGCTGGTAAAGTCATGAAGCTTATTAATGATGGTTGTTAAAATTTAACATTATATAATCATGTTCATCCAGACCTACAAATAGCAAAAGTCAACTGCTACTTGATTCACACTTCAACAAAAACCAGGTGAACTGAAGATGCATTCTGTGAACTCACTCTTAAAAGACTCATAACTGGCAAGCAAATCACAAACTGGAATGTTAAGGGTACAGGAACAGGTGTTTGCTAAAAGTTTCCTCTGGATCTCTTCATGGTCAAAAACAATAGTTAGATTTGTGTCAAATCCAGTGGCAGGTAAGGCAGGGCATCCAGTAACAAACTGAAGAACATGTGCAAGTTCAACTTTACTGGTGTGAATTTCATCTGTCTCAGGATCTAGGACTGTGGTGGTAATCAAACCTTCTTCAACATCCTCAAGGTAATGTGTAAAGTTAAAGGCTATAGCTTCCTCCTTAGCACGTTTGTTACTTCCTTCCACGCTAAAGACACACTGAAACTGATTATCAACAACCTCAGCAGTCAGCTTCTCATGTTCATAATATTGTAAGAGCTTGCGGGATTGGTTAGGACTGTTTCTGATCACATCCAAGACTCCATTTGTTGCCAACCCTTTGACAAACTGGTCAATTTCAGTCTGTGTACATAAAATGAGATGGTGTAAGCGGATGCACCTGATAAATTCATCTCTGTCTTCCAAAGTTACAATGGGCTTTGTGTATCCTGCTTTGAATCTTAGTGGTGTGTTAAAGGATGCTTCTTGCTTAAATCTCTCACGATCACCGATTGCTTCAAGCTCCTCTAATGTTGTCTTCACTTTTCCACTGGGCAGGTCACTGACTGACACTGAGACTGAATCTAGTTTACCATACACGATGTAGTCTACAATAGCGGCAGCAAACATTACAGGACCAGGTGAAACTTGAAGCACTGAAAGACCTGAAATAATGCCATAATGAAGATATTCCTCCCTCTGAAGAGCCATTACATTGTGAACAAACCTACGGTTACTAGGAGGTCCTGTGAACAGACTTGATGACTGTTGCATGTGTTTGTGAACCAGGAAAAAAACACTCTTTGCGAGGTCCTCCCTCGTCTACTGCAGGTTCTCCAATAATACCAGAATAGAATACCATTCAAGCAATCATGGTTTATCCTTTTGATTTTTGCCAGAGTATCCTCCCACAGGCAACTTCTTCTTACTTTTAGCCTTATCTTTTTTCCTGAGTTGCTACATTTCTGGAATAGCTCTTTCAATTTCTCACATAAACTCTGCTGGTCCTCAATTTCATGCTCTCCACTTTCATCAGTTTTAGAAAATTCAGACTCCTCCTCACCAAAGATAATGTCATTTTCAGAATCATAGAGCTCATTACTAAAATCTACGTCAAGGACAGAAGCATATGATTGAAGTGAGTCATGCAATCCTCCATTTGCATTCTCGCAGTGTGTGGCAATAGCTTTTTCAGTGTCTTGGCTACTGCTGAAAACATCAAATGTCTTCTTTTCAGGGAGCTGTGGAAAAATTTCTTTGAGTGTTTCAAATCCAGAACTGTTACATGCTGTAGTAGTACATGAACCAGAAGATGAACTACCAAGAAGAGAGGTGGGTATATCACTTGTTGTGAAAGGATCAGAAAGGCTAGTTGCAATATAAGAACCAGGTTTAACAGAAACAGAGTTTGCATCTGATGCTTTAACAGTGGTGGTTGTCTTAGCAAAGCCAGTGTCAGTGTACTTGGTTATTTTTGTTTGTGTTGGTTCCCTTAGGTCTTCAGAATCCTTCTCAATGTCATTCTGGTCGTCTCCGTCATCAGAAATTGTGTCAGCAAAACCTTTGAAACTATGATCACAGTAATCTGATGAAGAACAAAGATAAATGTTATCCTGTTTAGGGTTTAACGAGTTCAGCTTTGTATTCTTGTAAGCTGAATGCTTGGTCGGATTCTCCAAGTTTATTCACTTCTATCCCATCTGGGTAAAGCAATTGGTAGGCCAAAGGAGAGCTATGAGTAATTACTGGGCTGCCTGTGCGGCCCAGTCATAAAATGGGCTTTCGGTCGTGTGCGGCGAAAAACGGCCTCCCGGGGGAGGGAAGACACGAGGGTCTGGTACCGAGAAACGATGTTCTCACAAATGGTTTCATAGGATTTTCTCTTGCACTAGCCTGCGAAAACATCCGTTGCTCCTCGCTCTTCGTCGCTGGGGACGTTTCGCGCGGAGGAACGTCTGCGACTCAGCGACAGAAATTCCATACTGATGACGTAAAATCTGTCCGGAATCCGGTCAGAAGCGCCGATTGGTCGACGCAGCAGTTACATTGTTTTAGCTATTGATTATGAATGACAGACAAAAAACAAAAGGCCACAAAGGTCAAATGTAAACGCGAAGAATCTCTAACAAAACAGTCAATTTTTGTGGAATATATACTTCTGTAGAAGAAGCATTTGAATTTTGCTGGAGCTCGTGGGCAGATCAACACAACACTTTACCAAAATCGACCACAAGACACGCAAAATTAGACTAATTACCGGGGCCCAGCCGAAGGCTGGCACCGGTCTTAAAATGCAGACGGTCCGTTTTTTCAACGTTACATTGTTAGGGATATATCGCTGACTGAGATATATCGCTGGCTCATTGAAATCTTATCCGCCATTTTGAAAAGAACGAGGCATGGAGGACAGTCAAGAGAAAGATTATAGCTTTTGGGGAAACGACACGTTCCCCAGCCTTTACGATGCACTAGTTTATGAGCGAAAATTTAAGAGTGAATATTTGGAGAGACAAATTTACGAGCGATCACTGAAGAGTGAACCTTCCATCGTGAAACTTATCCAGAAATTGAGTGAACCTTCCATCATGAAATTTATCGAGAATCAAAGCGAACACTTATCAAAATTTGTCTTCAAAAAGATTTCAATGATTGACATACCGAAGTCTTCAAAGCTCCATCGCTATGTTAATAAGGTGAGAAAACTTTATCATGCACGATATAAATGTAACAACAAACGCGATCCAAAGATAATTAACTTAAATAAAATGGCTATACCCAAGAAAGCTTATTTGTTGTCTTTCTTTAGCAGGCATTGTCACAGGAAATGAAACTAAAATGTAAAGCACGTCGATATTTATCATTGTTTTCTTGCAATTGTGTGAGTCATAATGACCAATTATGTGAATTTCAAACTAAGTAAAGATGTTGAGAAGAATCCAGGACCTACTAGCTCAATACAACACTGATCATCATGAAGTAATAATTAGACCTTCTATGCAAAATCACAGCTCAACAATGCAGTTGAACTCTCCTATTTCCTCTGAGAATTTGATGCAGTCAAGATTAGGTGCACTTTGTTTACAATCAATAGATGTTGGCAGTGCAGGTGATTGTTTCTCTAGATCTGTATCACATCAATTATATGGCAATAGCAACCATCATATGCATATACGTACTGCTGGGGTTCAATTTATGAGAGACAATCCAGAGAGATTTATTGAGAGCAATACCGAAAATTCATGGCTACGACATCTGAATAATATGTGTATTCAAGGTACATGGGCTGATGCACTTATCATTCAAGCAGTTGCAGATAATACTACTGTCTACCCAGTTCAGGAAAGAAATACTTCCTCTACAATTATTATAGGTCATATTGATGAATGCTACTATGTATCAACCACTGCCTTACAATCAAGTGCCTCCATTTCAATGTGCAATGAATTAACAAATGATACTCAGTGATCAATAAATAAGCATTTTATTATGTCTATATATAACACTGGATGACATTTTTTACAGTGCAAGACAACAATCCATGACCACAAAGATCTATTTCAAAAATGTCTTATGTCTGTTATCATTTCAAATTCACAGTATTTTCGCAATAAATCTCAATGATAAACCTGATGATGACGTACTCGAGAAAATGTGAAATTGTGATAATTCTGTAACAAATTTCTTTGCAAACTTTGTCATTACCATTCAACCCAAAACTGTCAGTGATTTTTGCTTTTTCACTCAAACTTAAAAACAAATGAAAACCTTATACAGATCACACTTATTGACATCACAGTGTTGCTAAAAACACTACTATAACACAGACCGTTAGCTGTAATAACACTGAAACAAACTTCCAACAACATCCTCCTTTCTCATGCATTTTGTTGCTTTTCTTCTGCATGAGTTAATTCAGACTAAGTATTAGCCTCCACAGAGGAGGGGGGAGGGGTGCGCGAGGTAAACTATATCTATGCAATCCCGTGTCCCACTGGGCCCCGGTAAGTTCCACGTAGTGGTTCTAGTTTATATTTGGAACCCCATGACTACCGGATTTATTATGTAAACATTGATTTGCGTCATCAGTATGGAATTTCTGTCGCTGAGTCGCAGACGTTCCTCCGAGCGAAACGTCCCCAGCGACGAAGAGCGAGGAGAAACGGATGTTTTCGCAGGCTACTCTTGCACGAACCCTTGCACGGATACTTTTTGTACCTCGTCTGCGCTCCCCCTGAAAAACCCACAAAGCGTTGCGAACCTGAAGAAGGTTATTTGCGTTGTTCGAAGCGATTCGATCATGGGAGTCACTCTATATTTTTTTTATTGTTCGAGTTTAAGTCAGTTAGATGATGTTGGCGCTGGGAAACTCAGAAAAATGCTCGCGCTGCATTCAAACCGACACGCCGTTCACGGTAGGTTCACACTAAAAGATGACTGTGAGCGTCAGGTTTGGAACGCCGTGGCCGCTTCGTGAACTCAAAGAGAGAATTATCGATCGATGTAGTACATGAGCAATTAAGAAGCACAATTTATGAGCAAGGTATTTCACCAGTTGACGACACTATGGCTGAAGACTTGATTGTAAGCCTTCGTAGTCAGTGAAGCGAACAACTCAGTTGCCGATGAATGGCACTACGCACGTCCATGAGCGAGGGACGTGACAACTTTGCCATGTTAGAAGACTGGCTTTTCCTTTAAATATTTCCTTCTATTTAATGCAACACACGCCACTTTGGAGGTCTAAATTTCGGATACTGAGGATAAAGAAGACACGGACAACAATAGGGACTCTGAGAATTTCGCACACAAGTTTAAAGCTTCACCGGGACATCCCATCCGGGAGCTTCACAGAGAGCGACTTGAGGAAAATAGGAGCTATTACTGACAAGGTTTGGTGACTGAGTAGAGCATACAAGTGTAGCCCACGTCGAGGTCTCAGGGGATTTGCTTTTGTTTGTATTTGTATCTTGCTAAGCTTTTATCATTAAATTTGTACATGATCTTGTGATCACAATTCTGTGTTTTCGCTCATTCAGCAAGCACGCCATATTGATGTCAGCATAAGCGAGTTTCAGAAACATGCCTTTGAAAGTTTTCAGCTCTCGTGATGTTTCTTGATATTTCTTTTACCATTTTATGGAGATGTGAACTGAAGTCACCGCAAAATGGAAACTTAAACAACCGTATAATCCATTTATCTCGAAACATAACACACATGACTTATACGACCTTTATTTTCGTAAAGGTGTTTTGAATACGAACGAACACAGTCAATGTGAGGGGCAAAAACAGCATTAATATAAATGAACCATAGGGTTTTAACTAATATAAGGGTCAATTATTGTGCATTGAGATGAATCGCTTGAAAAGAGAGACTTCGCTTGAAGATGTGATCAGAAGTAAACAAAGGCATAATAGTGCGTCACGTTCAGTCTTTTTAATATCCAAGGAGTCACTGTGAATAGTGTTTCCATATTGTTTAGCTGGCACAAAAACTTCGGACGAGTTATAAAGCGGCATAGTTATCTTCCATGAAGAAAAGTTCGTCTTGGGTGAGACAAACAGAACTGGAGCGAATTTTTAACTCGCATCGGTATCAGGTAAAAAATATGTTATCGATCGTTTCATCTATTTACATTGTTTGAAGTGCGTGCTGGCGCACGCAACATGCGAGCGAGAAATCTTTAAACTTTTTTAGGTCTCAAAATGCAAAGGATTTTATTCCTTTAAGTTAGAGAAAAATACCATGGGGAAAATCTTAAAACTGAAAATTTTTCATCTTGTGGAAAAAATAGTGCGTTTTCTTGTAGACTGTGGACCGCAAATTAGGATCGCACTTTTCACAAGCATGCGAATTCTGAAGTCCAGAAGCCAACCGACGATTGCGTTTTTCGTTGCTGTCAATCATCTTAACGGACCTCTTAGGAAACAAAACTTTACTTCACGGGTTCAAAAGGTCATGGTTTGTGATTTGTGGATTTCGATCCGTTTTGTGTGTTTCTCTGTTTCAAGGTTCGTTGCTTGTGATCGTAATTATGATTGACGGCAGCGATAAACACAATTGTGAAGGTGGCTTTTGAACTTTAGAGTTCGCATGTTTGTGAAAAGCGCAGTAAAGTCTCCGTGCAGTCAGTGAGGCCCCTGGATCAGGCGGGATCACTGGGCAGTTAACTGTCTGTTTTAGTATACTTCTGGTTTTCATACAATACAATATTTCTGTCTAGTGTAAATCAGCTCAGTCTGTCGCATTTTCTGCCCGTAGAACGACAACAATTTTTGGAATTTCCAGTTACGTCAAATTAGTCACGTTATACTGTCACGTTATATTTTGGGGCACAGAAGGATTGGGGGAGGGGTACGTGGAAATAATGCAAATTGTTTCCTGTTTAGAATTAATGGCTAACTTGTTTATTTTTATTCATAATGGTGGAATTTAAAAGTTATTATACAGCCCCCACTTAAAAATGGTACTCTTTTTTTTTGGTAACGAAAGTCTTTCAAAAGGGTACAATGTTCTGAATGAGTTTATGTTTCAGTCTCACATGAGGTTCTGTCGCATGCAATGGTTGCCGACAAGGTTTTATGGTAGCCTGAGTGTGTATAGCCGCCCCCTCCCTTCAGAAAAAATAGCCCCTTTGCAGCCCAGTTAAAAATCGCCTTTCGGCGATTCTTGTTTCATTAGCATTATGCTTCGAGTCCTTTGCTACTGCTAACTTTAATAGCTCCTCCCCATCCGCTGTTCTACCAATTCTTACAGGAAGAGATTTGCCTCATTGGGGCTTGAGCATATTTTCCTCTTCAATATATCGCATGATGCAAAATGTTGACGGTTACAAGTGGGTCTTCTTTCTCAGTCATCCTCTTACTCTTCTTGCTCTTTTTTTGGAGTGCGACTTTCTCTCTCCTTTTTTATTGTTCATAAAGGTGTCCAAAGTAGGAACAGGCTTAGAAGAAATTAAGGTTAAATCAGATTTGGCAATTCCAGATGTAGCACACACAGCTCTCCCTTTCCTACTGCTGGTCGAATCGGACGCGGAAGAACGAGTTTCAGTGTTATTGGAGGTAGAATTTCCACACTTTACGCAAAATTTAAAAGTGTCCTTCACAACACTGCCGCAGTGACCGCAAAACATCTTAATAGGACTAAAAGGACACAAAATTGCACGAATGACATGTAGTCGCCATATTGGACGCGAAAGACCCTGGACCCGAGTTCATCACTCTTCTTTCCAGGCCATCTCGTTCATAAAAATGTAGTGCCCAGTCTTTTGAAAATTGATTTGTGTTTTGGGAAATTGATTTGTGTTTCGGGAAATTGATTTGTGTTTTGGAAAACATATTTTGGGAAACTGTTATGTGCTTGGGAAACTGACTTGTGTTTTGAGAAATTGATTTGTGTTTTGGGAAACTGTTACGTGTTTTGGGAAATTGATTTGTGTTTGAGCCTTTTAGGCCACCGTAGAAAGCAAAATTTAGATGCAAATGTGCCATGTTGAAAAAGTTTAGTGGGTCATTCGCTCGCTAATGTGACGCTGGAGTCTTTCAAAAACTGGACATTGTGTCTGGCTCGAAGTCGCTTCTATCTTTCTTTCATTGGTCTTTGAAAAAAACACTGCAAGTGGCCAAGGAGCTTGTTTAGATGATCAGGTGCAGGTATGTTTGCTAATATTTGTTGAAGGAATCACTTGTTTTCTCTCATCTCGAATCTCTGTCAGTCGATTTTTGTCTTCTTAATTGTGTACTGTGATTAAAATTTTCAAACACAGACTAGAATCCGCTTCTTCGATAAGAAAGAAGAAAATAATTTTCTGGAATTTTCAACCTAACCACGTGCACTGTGGCATAATAAAGTGTATACTAGCTAGTGCATTATTTAATCAGCCAATAAATTGTCAATTGTTATCAACAAAAATGTCAACAACATGGAAAAAGGTGTGTGCTAGCAGAAGATTACCATGTTATCAGCAGGTTGAGGGGTGGTCAGGATTCGAGGACATGTGTGAGTTGGACCAAATTTGAAGTGGAGGGAATCAAGGTGCATGAGAACCTGGATAAGTACATGTTGAGCCTTTCTCGCCTCCGTGCATGTCCATCCCATTCTCCCGTTCTTTCACTTTCTCTCTTCCACTTCAAATCCATGCCACTCACAAACAGGCTAATGGAACTACTAACAATCACTTTTTTCCTTGAGAAAATTACTTATCACCTTAGGTAAGGTAATCAGTGATGGCCATTATTAACTGAAATGTACTCACCTTTACTTTCACCTTTGCATGTGTCTTTGAGCATTCTCTGCTTCCACTGACTAAAATTAAGGAGGACAACCTTCTCTGCTCCACCACCTCCAGAACCATCCTGCAGCTCAAAGCTCTTTAGGCATTTTGTGAAAATGCCACCCAAGTTCTGCATGCCAGCTATAAGTATTGCTATCACAGACCTTGGTTCTTCGGCACCAGTGACGGGAACGAACGTAACATTCCAATGTTTCCCCTGCGTGGGCGTAAAGCTCCACGTCTTACTCATCTCTTTGACCATCTCCTTGAATTCACTCTCCAACTTTTTTTTTGAACCCGTTTCCTTACCTTGGCCACGTACCTCCCCATTGTTTTTAATACCAATGAGAATTACGCCTCCAATTCCATTTCCAAAGGAAGAGATGTGTTTTGCAATCTCATCTTGAGCCTTCCGGTTATTGTTGTGAAAAAGTTCATTTTTCGATGTGTAGTATTTCAGCTGCACTTGTTTGGATTCATGAAAATTCAGTACCTCCTTATACATGAATTGTTCAGGAACCAAAGAAATAAGGTCTGCTAAAGGAACCTGAGGACTATCTGTTTTCTCTTTAAATGAATCTCTCTCAGACAATAAAGCGACCACTTTCTGCTTGGGGGGTAGCAACAGTCCTGCATCACCAGGTAAATACAAATTGTAGTCCACTGTGCAAAAATGCTCTGTTGCTCTGATGAAGAGACGAATTGTGTCTTTCTCACGTTGTTGATCAAAGATATCAGCATATGCTGATGGCTGGACCATTAGAATCAGTTTTGGCTGTAGTGCTGACCAAAAGGTATCTAGATGCTTGTTTAGGTCTTCAGGTTTTAACTTTGAGAAGCCATCGATCTTAATTTCTACAATGCCACCTCCCGAATTGAGAACCCCGTTTATAGGCTTCAGAACAGTTTCAACATCTTGTGTCTTGAGCGTTGTTGTGCAGCATTGCACATTCTCAAGAAATTTCCTGAAGAGCAAGTAAAAATTTGGTACACTATGTTTAGCACAATATGAATCAAACTAAAAGACTCTTCAAGACCAAAAGACTTTGTTGGGTAGACACAAGATTATTTAATACACTGGTAAGCACAGTTAAGTTTAAGTTAGTTAATTATTGTGTTTAAAACAATAAACATTGTATATCCACCTGAATATCTGACAGGTACTTTAAGGTTAAGAGACAACAACAATAAAAGGCAGTCTGTGACTGCATGAGGCTACTGCCTTAGTTTTTGAAGAAAATGATATCTTATTATATGAAATTAAATCCACTCAAAAGCATAACTTAAAACATAGATGAATGTTTTTCTTGATATTATCAAAAATATTTCAAGAGCTGTAATAGTAAACCAATGACAATTGGCATGCATTATTCTTTACGAAAAATTGTGAAATTTTCTACAAGACTTATGTAACTTTACAGATAAGCAACATTCAATAATAAAATAATCAGTTACTAATAAATTATAATATATATATTTTATAAAATTTCTAAGACAGTATGAATGTTCTGATTGGTTAAAAACCTATGGATTATTGTGCCGGTAAACTCATAGTTTTACCTGAAGTTATTTTATAAAAGCAATAGACCACACTTTTATGCATGACTCACACAGTCATCTGGCATTACTCCAGCAGTGCTCATATGGTGTGGTCTACCAAGTGTGATCTAGCTTAATTGCTTAATTATAAAATACATTTTATACTTGATGTTCTAATTAATATTATCAAAAACATTTCTAGAGCTCTAGCAGTACTATGACAATTTGCAGTGTTGTTTATGAAAGACTGAAATTTTGAAAAATAATTTCATTTTACAGATAAGCAAACGTCAGTTGTCAGCTAATGTTAATATTCATGTCTTATGCTTTTATAATCAAAGAAAATAGTACACCAGTGACAACTTCCTGTATGAAATGTGCGTCGCTGAGTCGTGCAACGTTGCATTAGTGACTTGTAAGGGTTGCAGAAATGGCTAACTAGCTGCACTTCAAGTGCTGCTGGAGTTTCGAAAAATGGCTGCGTGACGGACATGTGAGCACTGCCGGAGTAATGCCAGATGACTGTGTGAGTCATGCATATAAGCAACATACGCTTTTGCGAAGGTCGATTATGTAGCAATTACACAACGAGAGAAAATATTGGCCGTAAAAATAAATTACAACTTGAGAAATCGGGCTTGATTTAAGCAGAATGAGTACAATTTACAATAATTATAAATTTCCTTATAATTTTTTTCTTATAAAAGTCAGTGAAATTACAGGTAAAAAGTTTTCAGCATTTGCTATAATTTCAGTTAATTCTTACCGCAAACAGCACTAGGAAATCACAAGGGACTACTAGTATTAAACTTCAACAACTGTTCATTTTGAAATCCTTCTAACAGGAGAAACGTTCGTTCCAGCTTAGTATTCAGAGGCACTGAATGTACAAAATCAAAATGT